AAGATGCCACACCACCATCCCTGAGGCCACCACTCTGCCAAGTTCCCTTCTCCATGGCCACTGTATGTGATCGCTGGGGGACAGGGCAGCATGGTGGCTGATAAATTGGGTTTTGGAATCCAACAGACCTGTGATCAAGTCCCTACTTGATAACTGTGTGACCAAACAAATCCCAAAAGTCCCCAAGTCTCAGTTTTCTCATCTGTGCAATGAGGATAAGATAGGTAAGGGCTGTGAGGAGAATACAAGGGTGTGTAGTAACAATGTCTGATGTGACGCATGTTCAGGGAGCGGTAGCATCTTGGCTCCCAAATCATACACTTCCCCACAGCTTGCTCCTGCTAAAGTTTGAGAATGTCTAGTTCCTAGTGGTGATTTGGCCATGACCACAGGCCCGTGTTTCAACAATCTGGCCCTGGACATTTTGCCAGTCTCAGAGTAGGTGGTGTCAGTCCTAGAATCAATATGCTGTGCCATCCTTCCCCTCTCTGAGCTTGATTTCCCCAAACTAAGATGAGGGAGTCAGACTTCCCTTGGAGGGCCTCTCGGTGGCCACCTCCTAGCACTCTGTGCCCTGTGAAGATTTCCCCACTGCCAAGCAGGATGAAATTCTCACAGATTGCTCTCGCTTCTTGGGAGCATGAACGCTCAGTAAGTGCTTCAAGGCTGGCAGCTGGCACCCAGTGTGAGGTGTCACTAACTCCTCGCCCAGAAACCCTAATGCTAGCAGGAGGCCGATTTACCTCACGGCCTTGTACCCTAATCTTCCTCTGCCTCTCCCCTGTTAAAAATGCAATTGTAAGCTGCTCAAATGAAGGGGTGAGAGGTTCAATGCCTACTAGTGGACTGTCCATACACAATCTCTGCCATGGACACCCAAGGCATGGGGAATGGAAGGAGAGATCAGGCTGGCAAAGTCCTGATGTGGGTCCCTGGGTCCAGAGGGCTTAGGCACACCTTGGTCAAAGCAGGAGAAGCACACACTGTTACAAGGGCCTTATAGCCTCCTCAGAGCAGCTGCATTTGAAGAATGCTGCTGCCTATGTGCCAAGCATGAATATGAGCACTTCTCATGAGTTGAGTCATTTTAAAACAATCTTGTGGGTAGGTACTATTGTCCCCACTTTATAGCTGGGATGCCACGGCCCAGAAAGGTTAAGAAACTTGCCCAAGATCACATTTATTAAGTGGCACAATAGCATGCAAATCCAAGCTCCTGGCCCCAAGAGTCTATGCTCTTCTCTTAGCTTTTTGAAATCCTCCCACATTCTAGCAGCAACCCCTTCTTATAGGCGAGCAAGCTGGGCCTCTGCTGCTTAGAGCTGGTGCCTCTACTCTCCGCTCTTGGATTCCATTCTGCAAGTGGCAGGCTCTCCTCTGTGACTTAATGGTGATAAGAGCACTGCCATCAAGAGCCAGCTCTATACCTGGCATGGGAGTAGGCCTGCACACGCCTTCTAACTGCCACCGCAAGCCCAGGAGGCAGTGGCCTCTGTCCCACTCTGCAGTCAGAGGCCACACAGCTGCCAATGGCAACTCAGAGCTTCCACTCAGGCCAACTGGGTCCTAAGTTCATGCTATTTCCACCACCCGCTGGACACTTACTGCCCCATCTGGCCACCTCTCAGGAAAGGGAAAGGGGCTGGAGCCCATGTGAGGAGCATGCCGTGTTCTCTTTGCTCACAGCCTCTGGAGTCTTGGGAACATTTCCTGATGGGGCCTACTCAGCAGGAGATGGGCAAAAAGGAAACCATTTTGACAATGAATTGCTTAGGACACAAAAACTGCTTGAGAGACACCTCACTTAGTGGTCCTATCACAAAGTAAGAACATATTCAAGGAGGGACACATGATCGGTTGGGAGGGGGATTCAATTTGGTGCAATGCCACACAGGAAGACCAGGCTGCCATCTGAGGTCCTCACTGCAACTCCTGTAAATCCTGCAAAGCCAGACACTGGTGTGAACTCATTACCCTTCCCCACATCCAGCCCTCCTGGCCCCACAGGCCTGGAGGGGAGGCTGCAAGAGCCGTGTCCAAACAGCACCAGGGGCAGCCTAGGGTCCCCTGCACAGCTAGGTGGGGCAGGGTGGGCACTGCTGCCACCTGATCATTCCCCAGAGGTCTAGTTTTTTTTGGAGGTCATTGATGATGGCAGCAGCCAGCCACCCACATGAGTCCAGAAAAAGTGGGATAAGACAAGCAGTGTAATCAGGCCAGTTCATCTCCTTTTATCTTTGGAAATTGCCTGGCTTCAAAGCCCCACATGGGTCTACCCCAAACTTGCCTCCCCCAGGCTCCTAGATTGCCCGTAAGCCCTCTTCTCTGCATCACAGGACCCATTTGTTGTAACAGTAATCATAGCCCTACAGTTAAGCAGGTCCTGTGTGTCAGGCAGGCCTGGGCTGGGGGTTGATGTCTTTATTAGCTCTATTTTATAGAAAAAAATCAGGCTCAGTCAGAAATGACTTGCTCAAGGTCACCGGCCAAGAAGTTGTGAAGTCTGAATTTGAACCCTGGTCTGTTGGGTTTGAGGCACAGAATCTACTAGTAAAGCCTGTGAAGGACTGTTCACGTGCTCACCTGTGATTACCTTCTACTTGTTCCTCTCTCTGAGAGCACCTGGACAGACCCCAGGGATCTGGGGAGGGTTGCCAGTGCATGTCTTGGCAGACCTGATGGAGTTTCCACTCTGCCATTTACCCCATATCCCTAGTAATCAGCATCAGGCAAGGCACCCAACAAGCATCTGTTGAGTGAAAAAGTGAGTAAATCAAGACCAGCTCTCCCTGCTAGTGCCTGGGTCCTTACACATCCTCCTTTCCCAGGAGCTGGGCCCACTGTGGCTCATTTTCTGACTGTAGAAAGCAGGCTCTGCTCGCTGCCAGGACTGCTGTAGGCACTGGTTATTGGGGCACCCAGGGCTCTGCCAAAGCCACGCTTGGGAGACAGATACCCCATGGGACCTCAGAACCCTCTATAGGCTCACATGGGCAACTGCCAAACACATTTCTTGCAACAGAAATTGTAAATAACTCATATATACTTTCAAGTTCAGGCACACTTTCATAGCAGCCCAGTGTGAAGGATGAATGAACAGGGGCCCAGAGAGGTTAAGTGACCTGAATTTAGTCACTCAGATAGTTCAGGCAGAGTGAGGACTTGTACTCAGGTCTGGTGACTCAAGGTCCAGTGTCTTCCCACCATTCCAGGCTCCCACTCTCCACCAGGCTCACTGATTGGAAAGGGGCAGGAGGGTTGAGACTTACATCTGGGGCCTTGAGGAATTTTGCAGAATGGGACTTGGTTTAGCTTAATCCCTCCCAAGTACTCCCCATAGTGCGTCCTCTCCACCCCCCGTTGACAGTTTGATTAATAACTGTGCCATGCTGTGCAAGGTCAGAAATCAACAGCCTTGTCCCAACCTCCACCAATTCCCTGACTATCTGCAGACAGTTAGGAAGAAAGAGAGAAGAAGCCTCCTGGATTACATCACTGACTTACACTAGAAGCCAAAGCTCCAACAGCCGAGATCCACACCAGCCATCTTTCCTAGTGTGGATGTAGGCTGTGGGGAAGGTCTGTGCTCTAGGCAGACAAGGCAGCTGCGCACCTAACCTGGAATCCACACATTGCCTATTTGAGGGTAAAGAAACATCTGTCATCCTCCCCTCTCACTCAGGAGTCCTCTCTAGGCAGTTATCCTAAGACAACATTTTTTGCACAGAGATGATAATTGCTGCATTATTTTTAAGAGCGAAAAATTGGAAACAACCTTTGTCCAACATTAGTGGATGGTTAAATGAATTATGGCACATCCCGGCAATAACTGCAACCACTAACAGCATTCTTTATGAAAAAATTTAAATGAGTTAGAGAAACACTTACGATATAACATTAAGTCGAGAAAACAAAAAGAAAGGACATAAAATAGTATATAGAAGAGAAAGGCACACAGAAGAAAAGATTGGATGGATATGAGCCAAGATGTCAGTAGAGGCTGCATCTATGTGGTAGAAAGAGATTTTTTGGGCCTGCTTTACATTTTTTTATACATTCTCAATTCCCTACAGTCCTATGATAATTGGGGGGCAGGGGAGCTACCCAAATACACGCCCTCCTCCTCACAAGGGGAGTGAATTGTCTGAACAACCAGAATGGTTGTGAAACTGGATGGTTAGAGGAAGAAAGGGAAGTTCCTCTTCCAACAACACAAGTCCTTCTGCCAGGGCCATACACTGGGGGGCTGTCCCTTATAAACCTACTTTTGAGATTTGTTATCTGACTTGGTTCTTGGGTCTCTATTTCAGGAACCTATGTCTTTAGGGTGTGAGGAATACAGGTACTGAATTTTTCCGTCTCTGGCCTCCGTTAGCTCCTGCCTCTCAGGGAAGAAGGGGGTCAGGCTGCCTCCAGCATCTTTTCACATAAGAGACCTGCACAGAGGGGAGCAGGCAACTTGGATGAGTGTTAAATTTTCAACCTGAGGCCCTGCCCACAATAAGGCACCTTGCAGTCTCTTCGGCCAAGAGAGGTTTTTGAGGTGCTGGGTTAGGAGAATCGCAGGCCAAAGACAAGCCACCAACACACAGCAGAACCTGTGCTACTCCCTCACACGTCCACCGAGTCAGAGAGCGAGACACCCCCCTGGACCCTGAAGGCGGCCATCTCATTGGAAATGTGTTCAGTTTCTCTGTGAAAACACCCAATGTTGTTTTGCAGCTGTCCTTGGAAGGGAGGGTTAAACGAGTCTCCTTCACTCATGGTCCCCACTTACACTTCCAAGTTTGTTTGAGCTAAGAAATAAGTGATCTTGGCACACAAAGAAGTGTGAGGAGAGTGATGGTTGGCCTGGATTTAGAAGCCTCAGAAACCTAAACAGTCCAGAAGGAGCCCAAACTTGGAGAAATAGGGACCCAGCTCAGGAAGTAAAAACAGCAACAACAGTAAGTTCAGCTCAGCCACCAGGGGGGCAGTGGGCCTCCCCGACGGCCACTCACCAAACATGTTGCCCTGGTAGCCGTCCTTGGTGAGGGGCTGGAGCTCGTTTTTCCCCATCGCGTAACGCTTGTAGCTCTGCCAGGCGAACTGCATCATCTATAAGAAAAGGTGGGCAACATGAGCACAGCGACTCCCAAGAGGGCGGGCTGGCCACCCGGCTTTGCCCTTTGCAAACAGGGTTTGAATTAAAAAAATAATCTTCCAAACTGAGGAAAATGACTTTCACCTGCTATAATTTTATTCTTAGTTACAGCTGCCCGGAAGGCCACTGTCCTTGGACAACCCCAGGTGTCCAGAACCTAGACACAGATTTCCTAGAGAAGACAGTCGGAGCCAAAGCTAAGGCCCACCTCGTCCAGGAAGACTCCTCTGTTTTGCTCTGGCCTCAAGTGACCCTCTGAAGGAAGGAACAACTCAATGAATGATGCCCATCTCAATCAAATAGAACAATCCCCGAGTGAAGGATAGCAAATCCATTTTGTAGAAAAGGAGACAGGTCATATACGAGGCAACTTGCCCAAGGTTACACAGTGAATCAGTGCTGGGAATTGAACTCATACCTCTGACTCCGAAGCATTAAGACTGTCCCCAAAGCCGTGGTGCTGCCCCCACATGAGTCTCTCTGAACTCCTCCAACATTTGGCTGGACCTATCCTGGCTGTCCCAGGCTCCCTGGTACTCCAGCTGGTCACTGTTATTTTTTGTTTTCCTGTCTCTGAACTATAATATAACCCCTTGAAGTCAGAAACTACCTGGACCTACCTCAGTTTCTCCCACAGCACCCAGTACAGGGCTTGGCACACATAGGCAGCGATAAGTATCTATCAACTTTGTCACCGAGCAGGTGAGTTGTTACTACATTAAGGAAATTATTTCAGCTCCTTGGGAGCATCCCACTGGAACCTGGTCCCCTGGCTGCATGTGGCACTGAGCTGGAGGAATGCAAGGTGACGGTGGCCCCAGCCCACTTCCCTGATCTCCTTTATTTGCTCCTATGGTGCTGCCTTTTTGCCTTTGCAGCAGGAGAGCAGAGCAGAGCTCTGGGGTGATTGTGGGGCCGAGAAGGGAACCAGGGCAGGCAGCTAAGAGACAGATGGGGAGGGAGAAGCTTGGTACAGTGGAAAGAATTCTATCTCTGTCACTACCTTTTTGATTTTGGCCAGTGACTAAACATCTCTGAGCCTCAGTTTCTTCATCTTTGTGATATAACAGGCCTGCTTTACCACATTCCTGAAAGGTTTAAATGAAATGCCCGGTTTCTGACCTGACACAGCAAGTGATCAACAAACACTCTTCTGTCCACCTCTCCTCCCATCCATCCTATAGGTCCTCAAACTTCAGCGTGCACCAGAGTCACCTGGAGGGCTTGAGTTTCTGATTCAGCAGGCCTGGGGTGGCCCAAGAGTTTGTTTTTCTGACAAGTTCCCATGTCACACCGCTGGTCCACCTGAGAACACTGATCTATCTTATGTGTTTATTTTTTTGTCACCTCACTTCCAGGCTTTCTTTTGTTTTTCTTCTCTCTCTGGCCTCCCTTCCTGCCTCAGCCCCCCTTCTGGACATTTCCACCTGCATCCTCTGTGTTCTGCAGCTCCAGCTCTTCTAGACAAATCAGAACAGTAACTTCTGCTGTGCTTGCTGCACAGCCCAGGAGGGCAGACGTGACACATCTATGACCTGTGCTCTCTATCAAATGGCAGGACAGCCTAGAACCTCTCCATTTCACTGTTGGTGAAACTGAGGCCCAGAAATGGGAAATGCTCAGGGCGGCACATCGAGCAGGGCTGGAATCCAGCTCTTTCAACTCCCAGGCCAGCGGACGTTCCTTTTCGTTCTCTCTCCTTCTCCCCCGCCCCGCCCCGTGCCTGGCCCACGTGACACATGTAAATGTCATGATAATGCATGCCAAGCACTTTGATCCTGGTTCCATTCCTCTGTAATTTGCTTTTTCTTTCTTTCTTAAAAAATATATTTTATTGATTTTTTTTACAGAGAGGAAGAGTTAGAAACATCAATGAGAGAGAAACATTAATCAGCTGCCTCCTGCACCCCCTTCCCCCTACTGGGGATGTGCCCGAAACCAAGGCACATGCCCTTGACCAGATTCGAACCCGGGACCCTTGAGCCCGCAGGCTGACACTCTATCTACTGAGCCAAACCCATCAGGGCTCCTCTATTATTTTCTATTTATCTTGAATTGCCAATAACAGAAACTAATTGCTGGGTATGAGCACTTGAGGGAGTCTGGTCTCCTCCCTCAGTCTCTCTTATGCAGAGCCCCTTGAGTAAGTCAGTGTGAGGGGAGAGAAGGGTGGTGGTGGGTGGGAGAGCAGCAGGAGGCTGTTAAACATAAATGACAGCAGGAAAGGAGGAGCAGAGGTCTGGAGAGGAAAAGACAGTACCCTATCCTCAATATGCCCTCCTGCTTAAGGGAGGGAGAGATGTGGGTGTACAGGAGTAATTAAGAAAATCACAGGTATCTACATATTCTCAAAGAGGCTGTCACTGCAGGGATGCTGAGATGTTTGGAACGTGGGACGTTCTCATAGACATCCACATCAATGAAGGGGAATGATGGCACCAGTGATCCCGTGTCACTGGGGACTGGATTCAGAAGGCCATCAGAGTTTCTCTCACTGCATGCATGTACACACACACACACACACACACATACACACACACACACACACACACACACACACAGTGCACAGACTTGCAAACTGTGGGTCTCCTACCTTGAGTCATGAGTGGCTCAGCCCAGGCACTGGATGAGCAGTGAACAGGAAAGACCCCCAGCCAAGAAGTCCTCATTTCTCTTCCTCACGCACCTAAAGCGGCACACACCAGATGTCCTGTCTGTGCTTGGCCGCAGTTTGGACTGCAGCTATGGGGGAGTGCGTGGTACAGAGGAAAGCACTGAGCCAAACCTGTCAGGGCTCCCACCCTCTACTTCCCTGCCAACTGTTTGTCTTCCTTCAGATCCCAGCTGAAAGAGCACTTTTGCAGAAAGACCTCCTTGCCAGCCAAGCCCAAGTCAAGAACCTATTTCTACCCCACATTCCTGATACCCAGTCACTTAGCAGCCTGCAGCCAAGCTTTTATGCTTGCAACTATTTGGTCAGTCCCCTTACCCTTATTCATTGCCACAAGCCCAGCGACTCACTTGGGGATATCACAGGCATATGACTGGTGTTCATTAAATACTTACTGAATGAATGTCACACAAGAAAATTGTCTCTGGAGCTTAATATATGGCTGAGAGACTCACTGTGGACCATACTTGGCACAGGATAAGTAACAGGTCAAAGGGAAGGGTCTCTGAGCAACAGAGGTGCTCAGAAAAGAGTAAGCCTGTGTCTCAAGGGAACTTGGTGGGTACCCAAGTGTCCCAATGGCCAAGTAGGACTGTGAGGGGCACAAGAAGAGGATGACACATAGAAAGGCTTGTCTTTTTTATCTGGATAGTCCAGTGGGCTTGACAGGATAGGTATTGCACTCATTCAGAAAGAACCATGCAAGGGCTAAATAAAGTATGAGATATAAAGTAATAAACAGATATAAAAAATTATGTTTCCAGTTCTGGCCAGTATGACTCAGTTGGTTGGTGTGTCATCCCATGCACCAAAAGGTAGTGGGTTCAATTTCCAATCAGGGCACATTCCCAGGTTGGAGGTTCGATGCTTGGTTGAGGTCTATATGGGAGGCAACCGATTGATGTTTCTCCCTCTCTTCTCTCTCTCTAAGATCAATTAAAAAGAATGATGTTTCCAAATGTTAGGGATGTAAAAAAAAAAATGCTCACTATATATTAAGTGGAAGGATACAAAATATATAGTATGAAATTCATTTAAAAAAAAAAAGAAATTCATTGGCCTATGTATAAGTTTATTAAATTAAAAAAAAATACTGGAAGAAAATATACCAAAAATGCTGACAGTGTTTATGTTTGTCAGAAGTTATTTTTTTCTTCTTACTGACCTAGATTTTCTGGATTTTTTTTATGGTTAATATTTAGAAATGTTTGTAATGTGAAAATTAAAGGTTGTTAAAATGAAAAGCATAGGAATAAATGATAAGGTGCTACTCATAAATCAAAAGGAAGTGCCTGGTGGTTGGCCATGGGGTGGATGGGATGGAGCTGGGTTTTGATGAGAGAGAAGGCCAAACAGCAAGAGAAACAATATAAGTAGAAGTAAGAACCAGAATCTCAGAGTCAAATAGAATCTGAGTGACAGAGACATCATCTAGTCCCAAAGCCACATTGTACAAGGACCGTGTGAGACCCAGACAGGGGAAGTGACTGGTCATGGCCAGGACACAAACGTCATTAGCACAGGGGTAGTTGTGTCTCCAAACCATGAGCCAGGACAGTGAAGCCACTGACTGGGCCTGGGGCAGCCTGAGCTGTGGTGCTAAATTTGGGACAGACTCAAAAATATGACTGTAAGAATCAAGAGAGATGAGAAGTAAACACCAAGAGAAATTATACCTCTGCTCCCACTGGGTCCTACAACTACACAACAGGCAGTTATTTGCGTGTGCACATGTCTGTGCTAGAGACAGAAGGCAGCTCTAGATGGTCTCTGAAAGCCCCTCCCTTCCATCAGTCTGTGATTTATGGATTCACAGAACACCTAACAATAGCCTGCAAAGCCTTCCCTTCACCGAGTCCTGCGAAGGCAGCAAACAAAGCTCCAATGATAGGGAGACAGGCAGAGAAATTGGTGCTGAGTCTCAAGACTTCCTGTCAGTTCTTTCTCAGACGAAAGCTCTTCTTGTCCACCGGAACAAATTACAATGACATGAAATCTTAAAGAGAAAAACAGTTTACTAGTGTGAGTCAGACATTATTATTTTATTTAAGATGCTCTTCTACCTGTCTTGAAACTCTAGGATTCTCTCCTGCAGAAAAGTGACTAGAATTCAGTGTGTCGACCAGGCACAGAACCCACTCCAGCCAGGGAGCCTCAGAACAATGGAATGAAGAGCGAAAGGTTGCATTTGAGGAGGGAGGGAATGGGAATACTGACAGACCACCTCCAGAGGGGAAAACTAATAGAAAGTTTGCATTGGAAAGTTCTCTAAAGGCACTTGGG